CAGTGTGTGTGTGTGTGTGTGTGTGTGTGTGTGTGTGTGTGTGTGTGTGTATTAAGAAGAATGAGAAAAAATGAATGGTTTCGGTGTGCCCCTCATGTTTGGCTTGTCTTTTAATCTTTACAGTTTGTTTCACAAAGTGCGCTCTTTTAGTTCATAGTTATGTGACAATATATAGATATAGATATAGATATGTATACATATATAATGGCTGACCAGCATTGTTCGGATGAACCACAAATTTCTGCCCAGCCACGCGCAGACCACATGGGTGATCTGCAAATGACTGACCAGCAAGCAACCCAGGACAGTTTGGGCTTGCAACACCATCTGGGTCACTGGGTGATCTGCAAATTGTTGGCTTGCATCCAACACACCAGCCTAAAAACCTCACCAATCTCTGTGGTCTGACGGCAACTAATATCTGTCTTCACATTCTCCAGTGCCCATTTTATACACCGTCAGACTTCCTTGCAATCGCCCTTCAACTTGATGCTGATCTTCCCCAACTACAGCCAGAGGATTGTAATTATACTAGGGAAGGAGGCTTTACCATTGCTGTCCTGCCAGTAGCAATGAGGGACCATCAACTTGAACTATGCAATGCTCGAGCAGGTGAGTGGTTTATCCTCCATCCCACATCTCTGCCTGCGTTGTGCATGGACCTGGCCTTACATGGCCATTGTGCATGGTAGAACAATTGTGAGACACGCGTCCTGGCAGGCTGTGCACGGAGTGTGCAGTTTAAGCGGGTAAAGAGACCAGATTTGTCAGTACACTATTCCTTCTGACTCAGACAATGTCGTCCATCCCTTCTAACCGAACAATCGTGAAAATATCCAATTCGTCATTACATTCTACTTTTGACTCAGGCCTATGTCGCACAGCATCCCTCATTCATTCACACGTATGAGTTCTAAGTTCTAACACCATTCACACTTAATCTCAACCATATCTTTTCGTACGGATTCACACAACTCGATCACAAGCCCTTTTGTTGACATCATCCATGACTCGACCGTCACACAATCTCAACATTCACGTAAAGAATCTGATCATACATTCCACCGTGTTGGAGTCGTCGATGTCACAATCGTGTGACTTGACAAAGTAAAAAGTAACTCGACAAAGTAAGAAGTAATAATCCTCCCGAAAGTTACGGATGTTAGAGCATGAAGCGCAAAGTGAGGTACAGATGTCGTTTTGAAGCTCTCTTGATCCATGAAGCAGCGTCCTACTCCAGTATCCTGGCAAAACGCCCGACGCGTTTCTGCTGCTGCCAATGCAGCGTCTTCATGCCTCTGACCACGGGAGTTGTGGGACAACGGCATCATGGTCCATGCCATGACTGATGTCATTGATTTCTTATATAATGATGCTGTTTTCTTGCCACAACAAACCGTCCGCAATCTCTTTTATGTTGAAGACCATTCCTCTGGCCCCGTTGAACCGTCTGTCTGTCGATCTGTCTCTCCCCGATCTGTCTCTCCCTCCCTCCCTCCCTCGCTCTATATCTCCCTCCATCGATCGATCCCTCTATCATCAACCGGTCAAATCCATGATCGATCAATGCCTCCCTCCCTCGATTGATCCATCCCTCAATTGATCCACCCATCCATCCATCCATCTGTCTGTCTGTCTGTCTGTCTATCTATCTATCTATCCCTCTCCCTCTCTATCGCTGTCTCTCATACACAGTCATGTCATGCAATCTCTTTTCTCCTGTCAAGCAGTCAAACGGCTAGCATTTACAAAAGCTGGACCGGATGTGATGAACTGTTGGGAAAGTTTGATTTTGTACAGGATGTTTGTTCTCCTATAAAATTGAACTCATGAGTGGGATGAGACCTAACCTTTTATGCCACCCGGCAGCTTGTGGAATTTAATACTTACGCTCGCCAAGGGTTGATTGGCTGCTGCCAAGGTTGGAATGCTCATGATTCATGTGTAAAGGAGTGACTCAAAACACTGTTAGCATTGAGTGTTTCGCAAGCAATCTTGAGCTGATGAGGTTGATGAGGCTGACTGATTGATGTGGTCCCCACCACCTTTTGTCCTTCCTCTACATTTGCAGGGCTTGTCACCGCAAAATTATGTGGGTGCTGCAATCCTCATGTTTATCACCACATATGGGGCACCTTTGCTCTCCGTTGGACCCACAATGATTGCCTTATCCCGACTTGGACGACGGGACGTTCCTTCGTTGTCTTCGACCGGATTCAGCTCACCAAACAACTCGAAGGCATCAACCTGTTCTCGATATCAAGCCTGGTCACAGCTGCCACAAAGGCTCTGCAACATAACTGCTGTGGCTTGCATTGTTCCTCTTGCCTTCCATGCAATTGCTCTTGCAACGTTTACGCTGGTTCTCTTCATACATCGTGGGCATCCATTTATCTGGATCGTCTTCTGCCCCAAGTAAGGAGCTTGTGATTGCTGTCTTCTCCGTCCCCTGGGTAGTTGGTTACTAACTTAGTAACCTAAAGTTGCTTGCCTCCTTCAAAACCTGGCTAGTTCTTTTCTTTGTTTCAACTTTCAAGTGTTTAGGGGTTTGAATTCATCCTCTCCAGAAGTGTTTCTTCATTTCCATCTTTGTTGCCATCATTCTTCCGAAGTCCTTTTCTGTGTTCCTCTTTTTAGGACCGAACTCTGCACCCACTCGCAGATTGTGCGCATGACAGATTGAACATTGAAAAACTTCCCAGGAAGTATGCAGTCATTGTAATTTGTAAACCAGCATTTTGGTGGGAGAGGAGTGTGTAGAACGTGGAAGATGGAGGCTGAGGAGGAGGAAGAAGAAGAAAAAGGTGTGTGTGTGTGTGTGGGAGAGAGAGAGAGAGAGAGAGAGAGAGAGAGAGAGAGAGAGAGAGAGAGAGAGAGAGAGAG